AAATAGGACTGACTACCCAAGAGAGACAGAACCAGGTGAAAAAAAGGGAAAGGTTCTGCCTCCAGATAACAACAGCCCAAATAGGACTGACTACCCAAGAGAGACAGAGCCAGGTGAAAAAAAGGGAAAGGTTCTGCCTTCAGATAACAACAGCCCAAATAGGACTGACTACCCAAGAGAGACAGAGCCAGGTGAAAAAAAGGGAAAGGTTCTGCCTTCAGATAACAACAGCCCAAACAGGACTGACTACACAAGAGAGACAGAACCAGGTGAAAAAAAGGGAAAGGTTCTGCCTTCAGATAACAACAGCCCAAACAGGACTGACTACCCAAGAGAGACAGAACCGGGTGAAAAAAAGGGGAAGGTTCTGCCTTCAGATAACAACAGCCCAAACAGGACTGACTACACAAGAGAGACAGAACCAGGTGAAAAAAAGGGAAAGGTTCTGCCTTCAGATAACAACAGCTCACATAAGAATGACAAAACCGGGAAAAAAAATTCAAAAATGAAGGTTCTTCCCTCACGGAGATAAGTCTGATTACACGAGAGAGTGGGTAAGAAATAACAAAAGAACGAGAGTATCTTCAGGATTCTGCTTTCGAAACTGCGAAATAGTACAGTACGATTAGTAAGAAAACACACTAACCTGCCAAGAACGCGTCATCTTATAGGGAAGGAATATTTGAGCTGTGATGTCAGGGTTCATTCCATAATTAGTTCATCTTGCTCATGTTAGGTTTCAACAGTTGGATAATACACCATGTGATTTTAAGCATCTGTCACCTAACTATCACAGAAATAATTCCTTCTCTTGCTTCGAAAGCACAGAAGTAAAGGTAAACCTTGCTTTGCTGATTAAATGGTTTGGGCATCATCATTTTCCGCTCAAAGGTTATTAAGCAGCGAGATTTATCGCGCGTCATCATATAGCTCTAGACAGAAATTATCAGGCATACAACCTTGTCTAAAAGCCAAATTGGACAGGCCAGCGAGTAGAATTTCTTCCTCGCGAAGTTTTACACAGTTAAGACCTTACCTTAAGGAAAGAACGATGGCCCCTTTTCGCAGATACCGCCGAATATACTCGTACCTTCGCACAGAATTTTCGCGGGATAAGTTCCCGCGCTTACCTGATGATTGGGACTTACTAAAATGATATTTTATACTGAAAGAGCTCCTCAGTATGGACGCCAGAGAAGTATTATCAAAATATCTACCCAATCGTTTCAAGTGTTAAATGATACTCTTGTATCTCCAGAACATACTGCAGTCGAAATCTCTCTTGAAAACAAGGTCCTTACCGAGCGGCTCACCGGCTTCCATGTTGACTTAGGGTCAAAGGTCTGATCAGAGTGAAATATAAGTTGGCTAACACAATTTAATTTTGGTATTGTCGTGACAGAACAGATAATCGCTCTTTGCGTCACAAACCAATAAATCTATAGATTACGAACAAAACATGCTGGGTACAATAACTGTTACTTGATAGTCATGTCGCGCACTACAACCAGGCTATCTTCAAATGCCATGACACACTACGGCTTAGCTAAGCCGTTCTTGTCGCTGAATCGTTCTACAATTATGAAAATTGCCATTCACGCCATGAATGCGTAGTTATCTCCAAAGAGAAAATTGTGCAAAAGAGTCCTAAATTTACGTAGCACTCCTAACGCGCAAGCCGCGCGGATCCTCGCGCCTGTTTACATTTTAATTGTTAACTTTAATTAATTTCACGCTCGCAGCCGAACACCTCGCTTTCTTTTGCTAATTGAGCCCTCTCGCTTTACTTTCACAAGCCTATGGATCATTTTACGCATCCCTGGTGAGAATTCTTTTCTTGAGCAAAGCTCGTCATGAAGGATGCATAGTGCAAAACTGAGGAATTACCTCAGGCAAAGTGTTAAAGCAGATTTAAGCAATCGTATTTGATTGGAAGAAGCAAGTATCGGAAGTAGCTATGTAATCAACAAGCAACAGGTTAGTCCTCGATCCTCCTGAAACGGTTGATAGCGAAACTAGACTTAACTTTCAACTTGGTATCTAGTTTCTTTTACGCTATCCCTGTTTTCCATAGGATTTTGTCAGGCAATCAACTCGAGGAACTACCCGGAAATATTTTTGCCAACCTCTCCAAGCTGTTAAATATGTAAGTCATCAAGCACTACACCCGATGTCCCATGAATAGTGTTTTCGCCGACGTCACAAAATGTATTTTTGAAGAGATATGCTATGTTTCACAGTGCTCCAAAGCTTTCTTCGTCGCATTTTCATTGACTTATTATATGCCACAGAAAACTGGACAAGAACAAGCTTAAGAGGCTCCCCAGGGATTTGCTTCGTACTCTGGTCAACTTAAACGGGCTGTAAGTTTTGTGATTAAGTTCAAAGATATCACTTACTTTAATAATGACATATTGTAATCCGCGAAAGCATTATCGAACCTAAATAAGTCCTCTAATTTAAAAATATGCATAGTAAAACTATTCCTTGGATTCAGTCTCTATATGAAAGTGGATCCATTTTTTAATCTCGCTATCGTGCGCTGTCTTTGATTGAAAGAACGTGTTCTAACAGAGTACAAAACACGGAGCTGAGCTAAAGCTGTCACGCTATCTGCCAATGTTTACTATTTTTTTGTAAACATGCCATGCGCCGTGATTGATGTTATTAGAAAACGTGAGCAGAGACGAAAATCCTCAAAGAGAAAATGAAAGGGGCAGTCCGAGTTTCGAAGGTTTTCACTCCCAGTGAGATTGTGAGCTTTCTTACGGCAATAAAAATCAAACATAGATAACACTCGTATAGCATATATAGGGTTTACTTTGAATAACTGTTGTAATCCGCAAGTTTTGTGTCTGTTCATGCTCTGTAACTATTACTTTGTAGCTACCATTTAGTTTCCCTGTTGATGCACGTGTTTACATCTCGTACCCGTGGTGCAAAGTCATGCCTCTAACAGATAAACATTTATTCGTTTGCCTAGCCAGTCCAATAAAAAAAATTTGGGCATTTATCTAAAACATAATTTACATTTAAGGTATCTGTCCGAAAATAACATCGAGAATTTACCCAAAGGGATTTTCAGCGGCACGAGAAAACTTCAGGTTCTGTAAGTACAACATTTGCAAAAATCACCCGATGGATTTTTCTTTTTTTGTATGCTTAAGAAGCACTACATATCACCCGATGCCATATCATACTATGACATTACCGACCACACCACATGTAGATTACTGAGGATCACATAAACCATCTCACGGCCACACTTTTCCCCATTGAATCACAGCACATCATATCATTTTGAAACCTTCAAAACTTCTCAAACTTTATAATTTCTGAACCCTCAACGAAAGACATACCGCACCACACGTCATCATAAAAAAAAGAACACCATAATACATTACATCACATCACACTTTGCCATGTCATACCACACCACAGCACACCATATCATGAGAGGGAACACCGCAACACATCACATCACACTTTAATAGGTCATACCACACCACAGCTCACCATATCATGGGAAGGAACACCGCAACACATCACATCACACTTTGCCATGTCATACCACACCACAGCACACCATATCATGAGAAGGAACACCGCAACACATCACATCACACTTTAATATGTCATACCATACCACAGCACACCATATCACGAGAAGGAACACCGCAACACATCACATCCCACTTTGCCATGTCATACCACACCACAGCACACGATATCATGAGAAGGAACACCGCAACACGTCATATCACACATTACCATGTCATACCAGACCACAGCACACCATATCATGAAAACGAACACCGCAGCACATCATATCACACTTTTCCATGTCATACAACACCAGAGCACACTGTATCATCAAAAGAACACCATAGCACATCACGTCACACTTTACCATGTCATACCGCGCCACACCACACCTCAACATTCTCGTCATACCACGCAAAACCACTCTTTACTAATTCACACTATAACAAATGATCCACAACACATGACGCCACACAAGACTTTCCCGTAAGCAATTGTCCTAGCCTCGTATTACGGTGGATATTAAAGTTGTGATTTTTTACTTCCTAACGCAGGCTGTTTTTTTTCTCCGCAGCACTATTTCTGATAACAAGATTCCCAGTGTCACCAACGAAAACTTTAATGACCTTCCAAAATTGGTTATTTTGTGAGTATATAGCCAGTGATTAAATTTATCATTAGACCACCACATCATATCTTAGAGCCCACTGGATCTTACTGGGCTTACTAAAAATGAAAATTGGTTTATAACAATGACGTCCTGGAAAGAAAAACATTTCTAAATTGAAAATCATGAGATAAGAACATGGTGTTCTAGCGTTAGCCTTATATTTTTTGCAAAATAACAGATAATTACTCTGTTTTCAGTTGTTGTTGCTGTCGATTCCCCTACAAGAAGATCCTGAAAAGACTTTTTAACCCTTTAACTCCAACGAGTGACCAAGAAAGCATTTCTCCCTACAATATTAATACAATAGGGAAAACATCAGTAAGGGGATTATTTTTTGAACCAACACCAAGTTCTCCAAACTGACAATATAAGGGCTGAATGGAAGGCAGAATGATTAATGTGATCTTGGGAAAGAAAGAGTTAACGACTAAACTGCTTGAATTCCAGGGAATATTATCCTACTGCAGTTAATATGTCGCTGGTACAATAGTACAGCTTATTTTTAAGAAAAGATTACCGGTATTTATTGCGAGCACTGAGCGAGGGGCCCCTTTAAAGAAACCGAGATTGCCAGTTTACGCAAACCTTATGGTTTGTTTCGAGATTGACCTTGGTTAGCAATTAGACTGAAATCCAGGGACGCTGGGCTATAAAAAAGGATGAATCTTCACGGCATTTAAACATAATTTAAACAGGCAACAAGGGGGCACGCATTTTGACATCACGGTGCAGTTTCAATTTTTTTATCCATACCTATTTATCGATGGTAGATGGTATTTTTAGGAATATGCAAAAAAACCAAATGTCTGAGCTTCCTAACGGGTTTTTCGATGGAATGAAGGACATCATGAAAGTGTAAGTTTTTCTCCGTGGTCAGTGAAACGTACAATATCATATTATATTATGTTTTATTAGCGTTGGACTTGTCATTCAAAAATCCTGAGTTCAGGCCCTCCATCCCGCATTATTTGAGATTTTTTAAAAGGGTGGAGGGGGGCCGGGGGAATTGTAAGATTTCATATTCAACATCCACACGCTCCGCAAATATTTAGCTGGTTTAGGTCGGTTGAACCTACTGACAACTTGTAGTTATACAGAGATTCTTGTTGAAGTTACAATCTTTTGCAAGTATAGGGTTTCCTTTTTCCTTTTTGAGGCCCCATATAATCACAGCCTACCTCACCTAGCTTCAAAATCAGCAGCAAGTTTGGTGCCTCAAAGACCGTTATATTCACTATTCGTAGATTAAGCCAATAGTGACCTACAAAATAAGCTATACCCCACATTTTGATTATACATCCCTGTGTGAATGACAACATATCTTTTGCATTTTTACTGTACTTGCCTTCTACATTGTGGATTACAGGATAGTGGACACCAGTCTTATGTGTTGTCATCTGACGAAAGAAGACGCCCAATGTACCTCTTTATACGACGACAGCTTCGCCAGTTGCGAGAGCATGTTTCGCGACTCAGCCCCACGTAAAAGTATCTGGGCAATCGGAATCCTTTCTCTGCTTGGTGCTGTGTTCGTAATTGTATGGCGTCTGATCTTTAAAGAGAGAAACATAGTCCAGCTTATCATGTTAATGCACTTAGCGGTTGGGGATTGCTTGATGGGCGTTTACTTGGTCACCTTAGGTGCCAAAGACCTGTTATGGTCGGGAAGTTACTATCTGCATGACTTCCAGTGGCGATCCGGTTTGTCGTGTCAGGTCACAGGTGCGATCTCAGTGCTGTCCAGTGAGGTCTCTGTAATGATACTTGCCCTCATCTCTGCTGACAGGCTGAAGAACATCGTTTTCCCATACCATGGTAGAGGGCTGACTCCCAGGAAGGCACACATTCTGTGCGCGATTATTTGGGTCCTTGGTTTTGTCATCGCATTCCTTCCCCTCAGTGGCATTAGCTACTTTTATGACGCCCTAGAGCGCCCTGCCTACTACGGACGATCCGTTGTGTGCCTCCCACTGCAACTTTCCAACAGGTTTCCAGCTGGTTGGGAGTTCTCCATTGCCATCTTCGTTGGGTTAAACTTCCTCCTCTTCCTGTTCATGACGGTAGCTTATGTCGCAATCTTTCTTAAAAGTTACCTCTCCAGCCGTCAGCTCGCAAAGAAGGGAACCAGACGAGAGGTGCAGGCAAGAAAGAAGAATGCAAGTGCTAGAAGGGAGAGAGCATTGGCCAAAAGAGTCTTCTTTATCATTCTCACAGATTGCGCCTGTTGGATGCCGATAATAGTCATGGGCATCAGGTCTTTGGCTGAAAAAGATTACAGTCCCCGAGGCGATCTTCCTGCCTGGATCGCCGTGTTTGTGCTGCCAATTAACTCAGCCTTGAATCCGATCATCTACACCTTATCAACCCCTCAGGTAAGACAGGGACGTACATTAGTACAATGCATTCGATCGCGACGGATTTCTCCATCGTGTTTATGCGTTAATTACGTATCCTCGCAGAATGCTTAAAAGTAGATAATGAAAGATATACGTCGTAGGCTTCCTAGGAAAAACCTTATCGTGGAATTATCATCAAATGAGTGGATTCGTTCATAAAAAAAAAAAGAAGTAGGTGGCTTATCAAATGTTTCAATTGCAAATGAACACGGCTGTCACATTTAATTTCAAAATGATTCCTCTCACCCAAAAATTTCCCGCTCCTTGAAAACTATCATTAAAACAAATTTGCACATGAAATTTCTGAAAGCTACTTGAGCAATTTCTCATAGTTCTTTTTGAGGCATTTGGAAAATATCAGAACTGGATAAATGGCTATGCAACTTAACTGGCTGATTCTAGCATCGGCTCAATGGCTATGCAACTTAACTGGCTGATTCTAGCATCGGCTTTCTTTGTGTTTAAGTCGTATGATCAGCTTTAACATTGTTTATGAAAGTTACGTTTGTAAACTCTCTATCATATTCTCTCTTAATTTTTACAGATTTAATGAAATATTCGTTTTGCACTACCCAAACAGGTGCAGGGCATATTGCGACCAAAACTGCGAATTTTGATGAACCATGTGCGCAGCTTTTTCTCTTGCTGTAAAAAGCAGCAAGATCATCAAGGTAAGGTTTACCGTTTTCTTTAGTTACTCTATAGGTGGGAAGGTATCTTATTTTTGTGATAGGAAATAAAAACTCATATTAGTTTGCCTGAAAATAATATAGCTCAGTGCAATTAATGGAATTAGAAACTTAATCATATCATCACATCAATGGAAAAGCTCACTAAATATAATAAGAACTTATCTAGGGTCACTTTAGAGTATTCACAAGATCTTAGATCATATGAGCATACATATATATATATTTACATGTATACATGTATGAATATGAATATTTATTATACGCGTATGTTGATTGGTGTAGATCAGGAACAAGGAGACAATGGAATGCTAGAAATGGTGGAAATGGTGCAACTTGGACAAGCAGATCCGGAGCAAGGTAACTTCTGTTAAATTGATCTTTGGCATTTATCCCGACAAACCAGAAAAAATTAATATATGAATACAAGATAAATTAGTTAGGAAGCTGATCTATGTCAAAATAATGGATGAAGGGCCAAAATGAAAACTTTTTATTCTATAATTTTCTTTATAGCTTTATTGATTTATTCAATATACCTTTGGTGGTCGTGTGGCAAGAATTGATGTCACATTAACAAAACTTGTTTTGGACAGGTTGTATCGCTATTTTAAATAAGAGACCTCACTTTAAACATACTTGACATTAACAGCATACTTTATTAGTATTGGTACTAAACAACTCAACTCACTGGGTACGAATCGACCGGGTATGAAACGACCGTGGGCCGGTACGAAACCACTGGTAACCAATTCAAATTAGCCGTTAACACCTTTATCTGTTTTGTCCTTTACGATATTGGAAGAACTTGAAGAAGAATTCCCATTAATGATTTGCAAAAGCAATAAAGAAAGAAAAACAAATGATTCATTTTCTGTTAGGTGTAGGCCAAGTTAACGAGGAAGAACATGTGCTGCCGGCTGAAGCAGGTATTACAACAAACAAGACCCAACATTGTCTTTAGAATCGCAATTAATGTTTGGAATTAAAAAGATGGATATGCATTATTTGATCTTTTAACGTGGACTTCTAAAAAAGGTTTTTTCGTCTGTTGATCAGTTTACTTTTTTTTGTCGTACAAAACCTAATTCACAATTTGTTTTGGCTTTTTTTAATTAACGAAACTCGACGAATATTGTAGGAGAGTGGGGAACGGGGGGGAAGGATGACCTTCGATGAATAAGAATGGTCGTTGCATGCAAAGAAAACCCGGATAAACTTCGCTGCCTCGTGGGCCGAGCTTAAATGTGTTGGAACAGTTATGAAATAAACACACAAGTATAACTGTTATCATGAAGTAGATGTCACTTATTTGCTGTGTTCGATATCTACAGCTACATTTGTTGATTGGCGGAGAAGGTGCTTATTTAAAGCAATCTTATTTTTGTTTGACTGCTTAATGTGATACATTTCACACTCGATCGTCAATATAAGTTTTTTCAGTTAGCGTTGGATAAGGGATTATGTACTGTGAACATTTAAGAATATTCCTGTTGGATAATTTGATACCATTTTGTTGTTCAAGCAGAAAAAGACGAAGATGAGGGCAACGGAGGAAATTTGCAAATGGTTGTTGTGGAAGGTGAGTCGTTCTCTGAGAGTCTGTATCAAAGGACAAAGTATTGAATGCTCTTTCAGAAAATAGTAACTATTAGTGGGAAAACCTATAGAGAGTTAAAGGAAACGAACCTGAGAGGACCCCGAAAGCATTGCGCTTAGACTTCTATCAAGAAAAAGATCTGAGGGGTCATCATTTCTCCATAGAAAGAGGTGCTTGGATGCTCACTTTGTTCATCTCTGTCATAGAAATGAAATCTTAATGTCATCAATATTCTCATTCGGAGCTAATACATTGATTGCTAACGAAAACACTAATCTTAATCTGTTTTTTTTTCCACTTCAGTTCATCCATACAAAGGACCACGAGATAATGCAGTCCAAACTACGACTTATGGAAAAGGTAAAGTTTTCATTGTACCAAATCAGTTTTAAAGCGGTTCATAAGTCATCGCTACTTCTTAGCTTTTGTCTTTTTAATTTACGCCAAAGCCACCTTTGTAGTTTTTTAGTGCAGCTACTTATATTTTTACTTTTATTTTCCTCAGCTATTTTTTTTGTCGCTTTTTCTATTCCTTAAATTCACTTCGCTTTGTTTTGTTTTCCCTGAAAGCTTTTTATGAACGTTATGTTCATGCGTCCAAATGATATCGAATTGTTTTGTTATCAATTTTCAAGCATCAGTTCCAAAGATAACATGAATTAACTCTGTTTTTCACGAGCCTTTCGTTGTCAAAATAGTTTATTAATTTGCAAATCCACTAATTGAAATTAAAAGACCGACCTACAACTGATAAACTCCGCCTGACTGGCCACTTGACTGACAGACAGTCGGACCGACTGACTGACTGTCTGATTAACTAATAAAATTCATGACTGTCTGAAAAACAAAGACGGACAGACTGACTGACTTACTGTCAGACGGACTGACTGTCAGGCGGACTGACTGTCAGACTGACTGACAGACTGAGTGACGTACTGACTGACGGACTGACTGACTAACAGACCGTTAGACTGACTAACTGACTGATTGTTTGAATGACTGACTGAGGAGCCGTCAGGCTGACTGTCTAACCGACCGACTGACTGACTGACTGGCTGACTGACAGACTGACCAATCCCTCTGACGAAGGGCTAACGCTCGAAACGTCAGCCTTAAAACTCTTTACGGTGGCCTACTTACGTTTTCAACTCAGTTGATAATACCAAATTAACCAATTGTCTAACTGATTGACTTATCAATCAACTTACCGATTAACAAATATCAAGGTTTTGTTTCCTTCTGTTTCAAATCAGAACAAAAGCAGGATTCTGAACAGGACAAGGAAGGACAACAGGCAGCTTCCATAGAACAACCATCAACTTCCTTTGAGGGTGCAAAAGAAAAAGAGGCCGTTGAATTTGAAACCAAAAGTAGTGACAGAGATAATCGAACTACCTCGGACCGACCATCAACTCCTTTGAAGGAAACCAGCGAAGAAGCTAATGAACACGAAGACAACAAGGGAGAAGAAGAAGAAAAAGAAGAAGAAGAAGAAGAAGAAGAAGAAGAAGAAAAAGAAGAAGAAGAAGAAAAGAAGAAGAAGAAGAAGAAGAAGAAGAAGAAGAAGAAGAAGAAGAAGAAGAAGAAGAAGAAGAAGAAGAAGAAGAGGAAAAGGAAGAAGAAGAAGAAAAAGAAGAAGAGGAAAAGGAAGAAGAAAAAGAAGAAGAAGAAGAAGAAGAAGAAGAGGAACGTAAGATCGCTCCAGATGAACCATCTGCTCTCTCTAAAGAAACATTTGAGGAAGCTAAAGAATACCGAGACACAATGGGTGAGGATGATAAGAGCAAGAACGTCCCAGCAAAACCAGAGCAGTAAAACTACTTGATATGACACAGGCAGTGACTTAACTAAAATATAATTATAAATGTTCTATGTAGCACTTAGATTTGTAGTTTCGAGCAGGAATAAGCAGATAGCAAGAAAAGACAGCAAAACTAAGCAGAAAAAAAAGTTCAGTTACTCCACGAGATCGTAAAGACTATGGTGAACTAGTTCGGTAAAATTGGAAAAAAAAACTCACTCGCTGAAAAAAAAGATACCTAAACACGTATTTATCTCTTGTTTTACTCAGAAGTTACGATAGCATTTAGCATTTGCAACATGTGTACACAATATGTTGGTAGGAGTCGGTTGAGGTCCTTTTTCTTGCATGTTTCCGTGTTTCATTATACTGGTCTATTTTAATCCTCTCTCGTCAAATAAAATTTCATGTATTGTTTTTGCTTACAGTGAAAAAAAGATCAGGTTTTAGAACAATTTTGTAGCACCGATTAGAAGCCGTCTCTGGAAAAGTAACATACATACCTGAAACAAGGTGAAAACGTTTGTGACAAACAAACAGCAGAGAGGCTTAAAGATGTACGGACAATGAAATTGTAATCGTGAGTTAAGTAAGCAACGCTGTTAAACCACCTGATTATCAATAAAAACGTCGAGAGAGTTTAAGTTACTTTGCCTTCTAGAAATGACTTGTTACTTTGCGGTATTCACCGAGGATTTGAAGGGTTTGGTTGGTAAAGGAACTACCTGTCAGAATATGAATTCGTAGGGTAATTAATTTATAACACAAAAAGTGATGAAGACAACACACTACCATCTGATTTGCAATGAGGTAGAAGCAGAAGTAAGGAGTTTATTTGTGGACCGTCTGTCGGAACAAAAGGGGTGGCCACCGTAAAGAGTAAAAAAGCTGACGTTTCGAGCGTTAGCCCTTCGCCATCGCTCTGGCGAAAGACTAACGCTCGAAATGTCAGCATTTTTACTCTTTACGGTGGCCAATTTACGTTTTCAACTCAGTTGTTAACACTAAATTACCTGCTATACTCTCCCACCGACGCAGCACCACAGTTTCTTTAAAAACGTACCCCTTTATTCTATGTAAAACACTGGCTTTTGGTGAAGATTTTCGAACTTTGCCTTACGTTTACTACAAGACATTATTCAAAATATGCGACGGTGGTATTATCAGATTTAACTACCTATACCGATATCAGCTACAAGTCGTTGACTACGAGATAATTTCTGTCAAAACACGACATTCTACAACATTTCACAACATTTCATCCTGGCCGCGCGAATTTTCCCTAGGGACTGGAGAGACAGAATCTTGTTGATCTGCTGACCGTAAGGCTTCGCGGGCAAGAAAGTTCTCTCTCTTGACTTGATTGTCAACTTCCTTCGGAACATCGGGGATAATCCAAGCCAAGATTGCCGTCATACCGAACACGATGTGCTGCGCAAAATAACAAAATAAATAAGACGATCAGCCAAACACAAGAAGAAACATTAGATGGTAGGTAAGTTTCTTCAACTGAACCGTTTTTTTTTTGGTTGGTCAATTTTAAATGTTTCACAGAACTGCTAAAAGGATCAACTAGGAAACAGAGAGGAACACAGATAGGGTGGAATCTTCTTTTTACAACATTACTGCAGTAATCTCCACCAACAATTCTATTTGTAGGAAAATACTCCGATTCTCAGTATCCCATCAGGTGCATCATAAACTCACCAGAAAGGCAACCACAAAAAACAGCTTGGCCGCCAAAATATGCCAATAGGCTGTCGAGAACTTGTAAGCATTCGGATTTAGAAGGGTCGTGCTGAGTATTGTAATTTTTGGTCGTTCATAATACCCTCGGAATCTAAAATGCAAGCACACAAGACCTTGAAAACTTGAGTTATAATGCATGACTTATGATTCTTACAATAGTGTCACCAAGCGTCCAGCAAGCTTTGACAAATTAATGAATCAGTACACTAATCAGTAAAGGCGATTCTTTTTTCTGCAAGAACTAAACCATAAAACAGAACCCTCCTTGTTATTTTACCTGCAGGTAGATAAATTAAACCCACAACTGTTAATTCTTAGGGGGAACTCAGCAGCAGCAGCTCCAGAAGGTCTCTCAGATTCAGGAAAATCATCCACCGCAAAACACGACAAGGTGTGGTTTACAAATCCTTCCAAGCTGTCGTTGTGTTCACCTAAGGTGTAATACAGTCTGGGGACGAATTCGGAAACAAAGGCAATCACAAAGCCCTAACAAAAAGGGTAAGAAAAAAACAAGTTACCGTGATTATACATTGTGGCTTTCCTTACAATAAGTTCTCTTTGGTTTTAAATCAAAACGTCGAGTACGACATGTTTTTCACCTTTGATAACAGGTAGAACAAAGAGATAACTCTCTGCTGTATTCTGCTCTTTAAATCGCTGATTCAAATTATTCAATTGTTATTGTTTCCTTCAACTAAAGTGACTCGAACCGCAGCATGCAGCACGTACGATTAATGAAGCAATACTATTGCTCAAGTTCTTTTGAATACAAACTGTTTTCAAGCAAAATGAGCGGTCCTTGTAGAACATGCTAAATCATTGTCTGTCCGCTTGAATTTGCAAGTTACCAAAGCAATGAAATATCTCATCCTATTAGGAAATCCTTCATTTTTAGCTCTTATAGGTCAATAACTACCACCAGGTGACCAAATTTGACTATATTATTGTTATTTGATTTAAGTCAGGACCAACCTTTTTTGCTCGAACATGGGAAAAACTGTCTCATTAATTTTTTCTTTATTCGATAAAATTGGGGGAAAAAATAACTGTGTTTGTAACTGAATCTGTCGCCCAAGTAATTTTTCTCTGTTTATTTTCCGTTTTTTTAATGATTTTCTTTCAATTTCAATCCTTAAAGAAATAATATTAAAAAACGCACAACTTTGTTAAATAGATTCTTACATTTACGACCACAGAGATCTTCGTAACGCCTTTCAAGATTGCGTACCAAATTCCTGTGAAAACAAAAGGCTTTTTTTTTTTCAAGTGTTCTATTCGGTAGTTCCTAAATAGAATTTCAATTAATAAAAAATGTTTAAGACCAACAAAAATAATAATCGGCCCTCTCTTTGTATATAACGCATACCTATATCCTGCGCACGAGCTGCCATTGGGCGCTGAAAAACCACGATAAACTTGTAAGCATCAAGACGAATTTCCAACAAGTTATTGATGAGGGCAAAGAACGGTCCAAGTGGAAAGGCGGCCACAAATAGTGTCACAAAGCCATACTGGATCACTGGAAAAAACAAAAACAAAAAAAACAAAAAACAAAAAAACAAAACAGAGTTGATAACCAGTAAATCTCAACCATCTCCTTCGCTCAACCGTACAAGCTGCGCAGTTCTTACCCATCTCAAGGTATTCATAAAACAACCCGTGCACGGGATACTGAGTCAAGTCATAGTCCAGTTCCCAACGTGTGTATTCGGTCAAGTCGGGGTTTCAATATTCTGACGGCGTCTCCACCAGTTCTGAAGCTTTCTGTGGAAAATAATTATAATAATAATATAAACCTCAGTCAAATACCAAGTGAGTTTTCGCGCGAAAACATGATATCTTCATACGTGAAGATAACATGTTTCTCTTTACACGTGGAAACAATATCGATACTATGATTATACTATTACAAGGCCGCTTGGAGCTACGAAATTTCTCTTCACGCGTTGAAAAATATTTCTCTCGTTCGTTTCGCTCACTCGTGGAATATTTCCCAACACTCGAACAGAATTAATTATCTTCGCGCGGCCATGTAATATCCTCTATTATCAGGAATAAAAGAGACCATAGTGGTAATGATAATAATAATAATAATGATAATAATAATAATAATGGTGACGATATCAACTACAGCAATAATAATAATAATGAAGATGATGATGAAGATGATGATGATGATGGTGGTGGTGATGATGATGATGATGATGATGATGATGATGATGAAAAAATAGGAGTGCTTACCCAAATGATCATCCCACTCATTTGAAATTTGAGTCAAAATATTATTAATCCACAACGTTCACAGAATGAGTGACTTGGCCTGTGAAATACTGTTTTACAGGACTAAACAATTAAAAGTATTATTTCACTGTAAAATGTGTTTGGAGCATGTTCCCACAATAATAATATACATGGAAAAATTTCTCAGTTCTGATTGGTCAAGATAAATGCAGTTTTCAGGTAATTCAGTGCAGAAGAAGGTTAATTCAGTGCACAGAAAGTAACAAATCAGACATTCTGATTGGTCAATAATCAAAGAAACTCATAGATAGCCAATCAAATGAGAGCCTTCGATGTCGCAACAAAATTTGAAAATTTGAAAATTTGCGAGCGAAACAATGGCCTGCTTTTTAAGTAGGTTTTCTTTCGCCACCGCAGCTGAAAACAGCTCAGACAACAAAACACTGTAAAAAGCACTGTTTTTGGTTTTGGTCTGGAAAAGTGGTTTTTAGAGAAGGGAATTGCCAAGGAAATCAAAAATTACAAGCCGACCTAGCTTAACACTTTGCTCGAGCGATCCAACGCCGAAATTAAAAACAAACATGGTTAAACCTCGAAACCGACGATTCCATTTCATCGAAAGTGATTCGGACAGACTGAACAATTCCTTGAACTGTTTAGCCGGACTTTGAACTTTTTTGCGCCTTAAAGATGTGAAGATATCATCGCATATTATTGTTTTGATCGTACATTGTTGTTTTGACCAACGCACGGTTTGAATAAATTATTTTTGCTCTTGATGCGCGCGCTTTGCTTCTGCTTAATTATGATAAGCCATCTCGTATTTTCTCATGTCTAGTTAGTCTTTGAAAAAATTTACTCGTGCTTATTTATTCCAAATTGCACTCGAAATCATGTGATTACCTATACAAATACATTCCCTGATTTTTTTTTTTCAGCGATTCCGGTTTTCTGATTACTATACCTGTATTTCACTTACGCTATAAATGTGCTTCTCCAATAAGCTATTACACCTATATGTATGTCGTATTGCAAAACTGTCCAAGTATATCGAGCACAACGTAAATACTCCTAGTTAACAGTAAACTGTTATTACATTAGAATACGTAAATGTCCATAAATGTGTAATTTGCTAAAACCTTCCTTAAGTCCGATGAAGTCTCAAAAAGCGGGAACGTTAAAAATGTACCTCATCTCTTTACGAGCTACTTACGGGACGATTATTTCAATAAAATTATTGAAGATCTGCTTTCCAACCATGATAACTGCCAGCTGGACCAAGAGCTCAAATAAACAACCTGCCGGATTACACTGCCAGAACAACATAAAAATGAACTCAGAATTCTCCTTTACAACTGCTCTATGTTTGAAAGATATTTTCAGTTACTTTTATGCCTTATTTAAAAAAGCCAAAAATAAGATTCAAATTGTTAAAGCAACTATTTCCAAGTCGGCAAACCTTGCATTGTCAAATTTAACGAACATCACATACACCCTTACGATATAAATTCTAATCAAACGCATCCTTTTTAAACTGGTCCAACTAATGGGACCAAAGGCGAAAAACATTATTTACTTCAATTACAAACAATGTCTAAAGACGATCTTTCCTTCCTTTTCTCGCAAATTTTTGACGACAGTACCGTCTGATTAACCCAATGCAGCTTTAAATACCCTAAACTGTCACAAAAAAAAAACTTTACACATCGAATACTTTTTCTTACCTCTTCTTGTCGAAAACCAAATATCCTGTTAAATTCTGCGGGCCTTCCAGGGCTGAAAACAAAAATTTTTTTGTCAGCGCAGTTCTTTCTTCCAGAGGGACGAAAATTGTTGTCCCCGTAGGTCTGTTCAGTACCATTTTTAAAATTATGCATAAAAAATCTGTCTCACCCTAAACAGATAACTTATAATTGCCAGTTGGAAATATTCTCAAAATATGATTCAATACATTCATTCTACCGCTGTGATGCCAAACAATTTTTAATGTGTTTAACGCTTCTATGTAAATAGATAAAAGTTCCTACTGGTAATTATGTAAAACTATTTTTCTGAAGATGTTTTTACTTGGTGGGCTGTTTCTCAACAGCTTAGTGCGTTTCGAAGATTCGCTGTAACACGGCTCTCCTGTTGTTGTTTTTGATCGTCAGTATCACAACACAGCATCACAAAGAAACAAGACAACAGCAGAACCGGGCAACAGCAAATGGGTGAGGAAAGATCACGATCTGCATGTCATTCGAAGAGCCTAAATCGTGAGAAAAACAATGACACTTAAGGCTGGCGGGAAAAATCCCAGATAGTCGGTGATTTCAATATTTCTTGATGATTCCAGAGTTTTCTAATTAATGAAACTCGAAATCGTAGACATTCCGATTGTCTGATGGTTGGCGAAAAATAGAACAGACACCACTTCATTTGGGACTCGGGGCTACAGGAGCCAAGGAATGGTAGCAAATTGAAACTAACGACAGTTCAAAATAGGAGTTTTCATTAACCTTCAGAAATCGCAGATCATCGCAAAAATCTGGGTTGCGTCAGTAAAAAAAAGCGCTCTCGATTTAACTGATTTGTCGTCAGTCATCCCAGACAATCGAAAATGTCTACGATTTTGAGTTTTCTTTCTTAGGAGAACTCTAAGTAACTTTTTTCCCATTGTTACTCATGACATAAACTCACCTGAGTTTAAAAAACGCAATATAAAAGAGTGACGAATAGAAGTTCACAAACTGGAAAAGGTACATCTTAAATGAAAAGATGTCTTCAAGCTCCGTCTGGGTGCGAGGCATCTCTGAAATAAAAACAGATGATGAATTTAACCCTATCCTTATTGCCTCCTACTTTGTTAGCTTTCGACGCCGCATGCCAATGCAGTTTAGAGGTACGGAAGGATTCGGCTACTAATTTTAAATTTAAAAATTCTTATGTAATGTGTAATGACCACAACGTGCACGAGTACAGTAGTACGGTTAAGGTCAGTTGAAAGATCGGATGCACTGATGATTCAATATCAGTAAAGTGGTCAATAGCTTAAAGCATGAATGAAGGTCAATTCATTTTCTACACACGTACCCCAACGTGTCAAAATCTCGGCCAGTTTTTCGTAAACCTGGAGATAAAATAACATAATTAACAAAAAGAAGTCACCTGAGGATCACACTAAATGATCAGTTGTTACTCCAAGGTATAAAACCATCCGCTGAACTTGTACTGTTAACCCTCTAACTCCCAAGATCTGATTGAGAGGTTACATGTTCATCACTTCTGGGAGTTAAAGGGTTAACTAATATCTGCTCATTCAAGTAGGAACCATCGCTGTGTAAGAGTTGCAAACGAACATCTACATGATAGGGCAGACAACAAAAATTTAACTCAAGATGTTTACTAGTTGTGTACCGTCTCCATAGAAAAAGATAAGTTTATGCGGGTACCTTGTTGAGGAGCATGATGGTAATGAGATTTAGGAGAGCTGCAGTGCCGGACGTGGCCATGTTTACAGCTCCCATGTTGTAGTCGCTGCTTGCGGCTAACACCGCGTATACTGCAACACGGTATACTACAACAGCAAACACGGCGATGACGACAAGCGCCAGCTGCGATACAAAGACCATAATACTATAGATCAAAATTCAGAACTTCGCTGTTGCACCTCTTATCCTCTTTTAAAACACTACGAGCCATACCGGTGACCAAAAGTCAGTTTTTCTGTCGGTTATAACTAGCTTGCAAAAGACGCCGGGGCTACAGAATTCAGGTAAATCTAGATTTGAAAAGGTCAAATTGTTGCAGTAATATGAGCGTTTCGCCTCGTCCAAGTAGCAATGCCCAATAGTATCAAGGTGGTGGGTGGGTGGGTGGATGCGAACAGTTGACACCATAGGAGGGAAGCAATCTCCCAGCAATCAAGCCGCAGCCAACCTCCAGGCACCTGTCAACGCAACACCAACAAACCGGTGCGCGGAATGGACACTCACCCAAAAGAGGGAGGGGGCGAGGGAAGGAGGGAAGGAAGGAAGGAAGGAAACAAAGCAGTAAGGTAGTAATGCACATCAATGCCCTTGGGAGGCTCTGGTGAAACTGTTGCATTATCTCGGTTTAAACCTGGCCAAAATCACATTGAGCCTTATTAAACATTATCCAGTTCTTACCATGAAGATGATGAAACTGAAACTACAAATAAATCCGGGCACTTTCCTCCCAAGCGATATGAAAGGTTCTTCCACTTTCGTGATGGGGTTCAAACGGGTCTCAATCGCTACTGCCTCGTACTCGGGACGAGGTTGTTCCTAAAGCAGAATAATGAATTGGAGCTTGTACATTTATGGAAAGATGGTCAAATGAAAAACACACTGAACAGGACTGACGGTCAAGTTTTTGCGAGTCTTTTTAAGTAATAAACTGTACCTTGAGTTCAAACGAACATAGTTCAGAGATTCGTGAGATTAATATTAATTGCTTATAACATGCAACAAGATCAACAAAAACGTTTACATTTAAAGCACCATTCACAAAACGAAAGAAAAATCGACACGGAGAAGTAAGTAGTGTGGTTTTTTGTTCCTGGATAAATCCTAAACGGCATGAGCTTACCTTGCCAAGCCTAATCTTTGCCTTCTTACAAATAATTAACAAAAGTCATAAATAAATACATTGATTGATTAATTAATATCGTACCTCTTCGTCCTCATATCCCAATAGATCCCATTCGTAAGCAATCTCTGCCTGCCGCCTCTTCCAAAACTCAAGAAACATGGTGGCTGTGTAACAAATACACACATGATCATCAGCAAAGTATTGCATTAACATTACGACCCTGAAAGAAAATCAAAGTCTCCTTTCTGTGAAAGTCACAGAGAAAATGATCCTATTTCTGAAATGTTCGGTAATCAATCCATTAGCTATTTTTTCAACTCTTGAACGGGATGGTTCAGTACAAGTTGCCCAAACATTCTGTCAAGTTTCTTTGACTATTCAGCGTTGCCAAAATGTATATACTCCCGGGTGGAGAGAAGCATTCTCAGAGTGAATCATCTCGCCCAACAACTCAATATAATGAGCACACCAGGGCTTAAACATTTAGACTTAAGGTTCCACGTGCTAGCCATTTATGAATTGTACAGATGTCAACAATAGAGCCTCGGGGTCTGACACAGTTTACTACACAAGCAATTATTCTTAAAAATAAAAAAAAGGTCTCACCCCAAATCGACATAAAAATGGCAAAAACCACAGTAAACTCATTGTCAAAAACGTAAGCCACCTGAAGAGAATCAAAGAGGGCATTAGTACATGTAGACGATAAAACTAGATAGATAACTTCTGAAAAACGAACTACAAAGATGAATATTTCCGAGCAAAATAATGTGTTAATTATTATAAATTGTCTCCAAATTCATGGTTTATGCTACGTGTAGCCCCTTTAGCATGGGGCTACATCAATTATTAATGGGACACAGGGCCTCACACTGCGGTCATTTGGTCATCATGGTCAGCAGGAAGAAACTGTGGTGTTTAAATTCAATGTTGCACAAAATTTCTTTCTCTGCTTTCTTCCTTTCTTTCTCCATTTCTGGCAAACATTTCTTGATTTTAACGCTTTAACTCCCATGAGTGACCAAGACAGAATTTTTCCTTACAATATCAATATAATATCAACCAGATAAGTGATAATAATAAAGAAAAATATCAATTTGGGGATAACTAGTTGTTCCAATACTAAATTCTCTGAACAAACAATATAAGAATTGTATGGTTGACTGTGAAGAGAATGACAATTTTGGTTAAGTCGCCAAATAGCGACCTTTAAAAAAGTTTAGCAAAGAAGTCGAGGAAGAAGAAAAGAAGGAACTTGAAGTAAGAGGTGAAAATGTTCTTTAAGTCACCTTTGAATAGATGCATGTGTCCGATAAAGACCAGTATGGACAGCGTTTGTCACAGCGAGGGCACATGGGAAAGTTCTTAGACGTATCACAGATGTCTTTCCTGAGCAAAAGATACATACATACAGTTGGTTTTACGTGTCTGAAAGCCACGTTTACACAAAAATAAAAAAAAAGTTCGTTCTCTGACTTGCGTTTTTTCAGTATAAAACCAGTGATTGCAACACTGTTAACGCTTACCACTGGCAGTAATAGTAAACACTGGATGCACATTATAGTGAAAGTTATGTAAAATAGCACATGTGAATGTATCACCAAGTATATTTTTCTTTTGTTCCATTTCACGACAACTTTAAATAATACTTTAAGATTCTCAGTCCTCAATGAGCCCATTTCACGGCTGATATGGATATAAGGCCTTTGCATATGATAGAATGCACATATAGGCCTTGCCAAACTCATCACTTACACAGGAATATAAGACTCCAGTCTGACAAGTCCATAAATCACACAAACAAGGCCCATGATGGCTGCTGGGAGCAACATCCATGCGTAGAAACCTGTCAAACAGTCAAGAGAGTAACATTTGTTTGATGACACTGTTTTCGTCATTGACATCCAAACTTCATGCATTGTGCAATGTCCTTGAGTCTCACTGGCTGACTAGAATACAGTCATAGCCTTTAATATGTGTTCTTCCAAAAATAAAAATTATATGCAGCCATGATTAAACAGCTGAAACAATAACTTACTTCAATCAGAGTGCACATGAAATTTGAAGTCATTAATTATATTTACCTAACCAAGCAAAGTAGATTCCAATTTTCTCTCCAAAGTAATCTCTGCAACAAAATTAATGAATAATCAACCAAAACAATTATTAACAACAAAAAATGACACACACACCTTGAGTTAAACAGTCCTGTGTAAGTGATTTTACCTGATATGATCCAATGGTTGCATTTTGTACCAGCAATGTGCTTTAACCCAGGTGTCAAACAACAACTGAAATAGCAACAACCCACAAATAAAACTATCATTGATTACCAACTGTAAAACTGGAAAAAACAATGCAATAGAAAAATTTATAACTGCACTTAAAAGAAAATATTGAGAAAAGCTATCAAAAGTTTCGAGTCTGATATATCTGAACACAAGCTTGAAAAGAATATCAAGAGTAGGGGTAGAAGTAAAAATATTTGGGAAGGAGAAAATTCAATGAAAAAACAAACAAACAAACAAAGTTTTCTTTGGTGATTTGACTTGTTCGACTCTAATTTTCCTCTTACAAGTTCCTACAGAATAGGAATTTACCTTAAAACATCTAAAAGCAGGAATGTGATAAGAAGAAAGAAAAAACTTCAGGGGACAAAGTATTGTTTGATTATATAAACTGTAAAAGCTGTATGGTATATAGACTGGATGGAGAATTGATGTTTACATCTTTGAAAAAAAAGGTTACATGTACTGTAGCTTGAATGACAAATCAGCTTTGAAAGAAGTTTACAAAACTGATAAAGTGTAAGTTGAAGAGATGGTAATAGGATGGCATAGATTGGGTTACCGATCGTTTCACACCCACAGTCATGTCATACCCAGTTAGTTGAGTCATTTTGTACCCAGCTTGAGTATAAAATGAATGAGTACATGAGTATGGGTATGAAATGACTGCATACTATAGATTTGTTTAGGAGTTTATTAGGTCCGAGTTGTACATACACAATGTACACTGTAAACTTAACAGGAAACAACATACACAAAACTAATTAACCTTACGAGGTCTATTAATTTAAAAATAATAATAAAAAAATTACCTGTCTGGCATTTTCAGGTCTTGGAGGATCATTGGATTGATCTTTTTCATAAGTGCCCTACATCAACCTTTGTAAAATACAAAAATGATGGTACTGTATCAAGTTATTCCATGCATTATTGTGGTAATTTTTGCAATGTATAGATCTCTACATGTCAAATTCCCTGATAAAGTAATTATAAATTACAGTGTGCTCATCATATGCCAAATCCATCTCTTTTACCTCTCTCCAGTAAAAAAAAAATCAAATGCAACTCTTTAATTTGTAACATCAACACCTAAAGGTAAAAGAACATGTTTCAAAATGCTAAAAAAATACTTTTGTTTGTGTTATGAACAACTGACAACCACACAGTTGTCCTAGATATGATTAAGACAACATGATTTTCGTACATGTTGTGTTCAAGTCTGATTGAATTATTTTGATGGTCATGAACAAAAAGCATACCCTGAAAATTGGCCTGAAGTACAATTATGCTTTGTTGCTACTCAAAATCCCTGGTTTCATTGATGAAAACTATAACAAAATTCTTGAGTTCTCCAGCTCAGTTTGAACACTAATAGGACAGTGTACACATCATCCTTGTAATTGGACAGTGTAATAGGGCAATTAACACACCATGCCTGTGTAAGTGGAAAGAAGGTGTCGCATGTGCATGCTATTGTCTCACATTTTGCCCCTTTAACTGTTGTTTTCTTTTAATGAAAAGGTACAATGGATGCCTTCACAGTGCAATCATCGGATTTTGATAATCACTTGGATAATTACAGCCTGAATTGGACTCCTCTTAGTCCTATTACTATTATATACATGTACAATGTACATGTATCAGTCTGAATAGCTCCCCATGTACAACAAGCTTAATGTTCCCTGGATCAAGACATCCATTGTCCAACTCTCACTTGACTAAACATATGGGCATGTAGTTGTTTGATGTTATTCCTTCTTTCTATTAAATTTTCATTCTAAAATTTTGATCTCACAAGAATGCCTTACTGTACTTTTTGAAATAAATGACAAGAAAACACAGTTGGCTAACTTTGCCAACATTTGGCTGAATCCTGTTCAAGCAACCTGACATAATTGTTGATTCAAGGAAAATATCATTATTAGACTCCAAATCACTCTGAGAAAACTGATGCAGTATGTTGCCTTTTCCTCTGGCCAGTCCCTTGCATGGGATCATTCAACCAGATGGAGTGCACTTACAAAAAATGAACCATGACCTATATAGCTTTGTTTGGCTTTTTCATGTCCCTTTAATTCCTGACAGGAGACAAGGTTTTTAATTTTAAGTTTTGTATGATATAACTGTATGTCAGCCTTCTTGGGCCTTCAACTTAATAATCATGTGCAAATATGAGGGCCCTTAAATTTGTTCACCACTGCCCTTCAAGTCTCTGTTTTCAGTCACTCTAAATTCTGAGAAGTTTCAAAGCCTATGATATTCTCTTCTAAAGGATTATCATTCAGGAACTGCTCATTTTTTAAACTTAGAGAAATCATTGTAAATTGCAGTGATCCATCAAATTATACCATAGTAAATTTCTTGGACACTTTTTAAGTTTCACAGCAAGGAGTTGTTACACTGAAGACAAAAAAACAAAACAAAACAAAACTTGCAATTAATTTTTTACCTCGTGTAAGGGATAAGCTGCAGCATAAGATCCATTGCCAATTAAGCATCCAATGCCTAATATCATATTACAAAGATGCATAAATGACAAGGATATGCACCTACATTATGTTAGGTATAAGTTTCTGATCACACCATACACAATGTGATACATGATATACTGCAAAATCAGTTTAATAAGCTGACATCAATAATTAAAAGTAATACAAAAGAGAATACTTCAAAGAGTCTTGCTGTTATCAGAGAAAACTGACATGTACCTTTAAATTCCCTGTAGGTGGCAATATTCTTGTTGTTCAATGACTGACAAAAATATATTTCTCTTCCTAATGTAAAGGGTCCCAAATTTTTAATGCTAGTCATTAACATAAAGTATAGTTTTGATTAAGATTGCTTCGTTTTTACCAATCTGATTCCTCTTCTCACCATACTGTGTTCTTGTCAAAATTCTGTGAACGTGCTTGCAATTGAACATCAATATTTACTGTACTTCTATTTGTTTTGCCATCTCTGTCTGAGATATATATCGATGTGTTACCTGAGTATACTATTTTATAAATCAGGCAAAGGATGAATATAACATTTGGTCATTGTTCAGTGAGTAGAAGACCTACCATAGCAGGTACTACAAGACATAGATGACTGTAAAACTATCAGACTTGTAATGTTGTCATGATAAAGTTGAGTTCAAAGTAAACATCCTGTGTAACAGGAATCACTTACAATTCTGCTTCGCTGAGCACTTTTGAAGAAATCATCACGGCTAACCATAACCATTTGTTAATCATAATCCTGATGGTTAACAAAGAAAACGTACTTGTCAAGTTTGTCTTTTCTGAAGGCACAAGTGAAGTAGTTTGGCTGCTCTGGGAGATCTTCAGCTCTGAGTTCAAATGGATTACGCATTCCAATGGTATCAAAACATCTCTCAGTCCAATCTCTTGTGTCAAAGTCATTCTCCTGTCAACAGAAAAGATTGTGTTAATTTCAAGCACTTATCAGGCACTTGTCAAATACATGTAGTTTATGAAGATTGCGTGACGAAAACAAGTTACGCTGTCATGTCTATCATGTGGAGCGGTTCTTGGGAGATCGTGGGGGACTCTTCTTAAGAGGCATAGCGAGTAGAACGGACACGTACGGTCCCCGTACCCAGCAATCGGAGAAAATGCTTATGGAAGATGAGCATCATTGGCTGTGACTGTCTGCATCAACATCACACTGATCGATACAGTACTGAAAATAACATTGAAATGAAATGCTTATAACTAGAGATTTTTAAATTTAGAAATTGAACACGGAAGCGGGTGCCAGGAAACTTTTAGGGAGCAACAGGAGACGCTTCCAAGGGACTGAACACATGCATCATCCTTCGCTGCAGGGTTATCAATCAATAATTGCTTTATTATAATACAGACATGCGAGGCAGTGAGTTTTTAAAGTGTTTCCTCCACCTAGGCCTTGAGTATTTACTCTATTTTACATGATGTGATTCACGAAGATGACGTCTACTTGCTCGATTATTTTTGAGTCTAATGCCCCAAGTGAATGTTCTAAAAATTGCTTTTGGGTTCCCACTTCTAAATATGTTACTTACTTAAAGAGTCGTGTGAGACAGTTCATTTCAGGTTTAGCAATCAAATAGCCATTTTGAACTCCGCTTTGCTTCGTTCCCAGGACCTCTCCTCCCTGAGAAACAGGACCGAGGTTGTGACTTGATTTGCATAAGCATCCCGCGCGAAAGAGAAATCACCGACGTTTTTGTGCTCATCATCCCTACAGGACAACTTATTAGCAGGTTGATAATCTCTAGAGAATCCAGTGTCATTCACTAAAATGCAGATGACTGCTACGAAAGATCGTTCTGATGTGCCTTCACGGCGTCACAATCAGGCCGAGGAAATTTTCGGGTGACTCCTTACAATTTTAAAGCATACCAGTGTCGTGTGGGGCAAATGTTAGGTATATCATCGCGGTCAATATCCCTTTACTTCCCCACCCCTTAACCCTATACGGCGTTTGCATTTTGGCGAAAGAGGTTCATTCTGCACTACAAGTCTCAAAGGAAAGAAATAACAGTTGTACTTTCAATTGTATTAAGTCTATAGCTAATATTTCGCCCCATCCTTTCCTTCATCATTATTCTCGCCGTGCCTGAAATCTTCCACACTTACTCAAAACAGTTCCCTCTGACTTTCAGGAGTGTTTTCTTGACATGAAAAAATCTCCTTGAAACATAGGAGTACTTTCGCTGATTGGTTAGAGAATATGATCGAAAAACTAAATCCTCTTAACTAATTTTATGCATAGAAATGTGTGACAGCTGAGAAAGAAAATTGCCTGTCACATCTTAAGATTTAAGGGGTTCAAACGGAGGTGGTGCTGCCTTATGGCACTTATCTTACGTTCTCCTGAGAGCAAAAATGCTGGGTTCCATCACTTTTGTAAAGGGTAGTAAATCAAAAGGTAAATATGAGTTAAATCCTCTTTTTCAACTCTCATGCAGCAAAACATAGCTTCGCATCAATACCATGAGAAACATTGGTCAACCTCGATGTCTTTGATAAGGCTCCGAAACTAATATTTTTACATCTGGAACAAACATCCACGCTTGGACAATGAGATGTTTAGGTTTTATCTGACGTTACTGTTTTGATATAATGACTAGGGGTGTGTGTAGTGTTTTTGATCCTGGCGGCGGGAAACTTAACAAATCTTGTCAATCTGCACGTGGCTGATGTTGGGAAAACCGGCGAATTGCGTATTTGGCTCGTGATTTGTTTTGCTGTTCTGCTGCCATACTCGTGGCTGGGAACGCCCAAGCACTTCTGAGGGATCGCTGTCAGTGCTAGTGTAGCAACAGCTATGGCTTGTTTGATGATCTGCGTGTGCATCGCATTGGATATGCCGTCTGATTTGAATACTGTTGAACAACCTAGTTTAAGCTTCGAGAGTTTCTTTTCAGGTGTGTTTTCCTAAGTGGACTTATTATCATATATAATTATATATGCTACTCATATAAAATTATACGATAAGCTGAATTATACAAGCATTTTATTGGTAGTACTTATGTTCTGTTGGAAGACAAACGCATAGATGACGTCATTATTAACAACCTTTCGTCATCTCTACAATTAGAAAATCGATTCTACGTTGCTGTGGGTCTGTACAGTAACAGATCACAGAAGACATCAAAATGTGGTAAAAACATCAGTGACACAACCGGCTGCGCTTCATGTGCTCTTTTGTTTTTTCTTATCACGTTTTGACTGCATCTGTGATCCATTTCTGAACAGAGGCTGCCAATGGTCTCGGTGTGGCCAAGTCGACTTACAAGATTATCCAGTGTAATAAAAAAATGACATGACTTTTTTACTAGAATGTGCCGCGAAATGTTAACATTTTAATCGTCAGTAAGAGCTATCCACGGCGTGGCTAAAATTTCGCAGGAAAAATGAGGATGGTAGGTTTTATCTAAAGTGAACCTTATATTCATTCCTCAATGCTGCTGAGTTCTTCTAATTTCTCCTTTTCTTTTAGCTTTCGGAACTATATTATTTTCATTTGGTGGCGCTTCAACCTTTCCAACGATTCAGACAGACATGAAAAAATGCTCCAAGTTTCCAATTTCTGTGTTCTGGGCGTAGGTTGATGTCGTAAGCATGTATCTGCCTGTGTCAATCCTCGGTTTGTGGCTTACGGCAAGAACATCACATCGAACATTCTCGAGAGCGTGAAATACGAAAAACATGACGCGGCTGCTGTTATGTTAGACATAGTGCTTGTACTGATCACACTTCACCTGCTGTTAAGCTTTGTTATTGTGATAAACCCAGTATCGCAGTCTTTTGAGGAGTTTTTGAGCATACCTCAAGGTTGGTTTAAATACACCCAGGGTTAATCTCATTAATTCAGCGGGAAGAAAGGGTTGCGATGGACGTCTACCTATTCCGTAAAAAAAACAAAGAATCTAATATTTTACAGGGAATGTGATCAAGATAGCTCTAGGGTCCACAGCTACGCTTATATATCTAGGGGCGAAATACGAGCGCTTTTTTTTCTTACTTCTTTCGTGTAAAACTGTTTTCCTTATCGGCGTCTTGCTTTCATAAAACCCCCCATCCACACAGCGTTTTAATGTTAGGCACTTACGCTACTTTAAGTCATTTTTCGGTCTTCTTTTCCAACAGGATTTGGTGTCAAACGGTGCCTCCTTCGCACCGCCATCATGTGTTTTATTCTTGGCATTGGCGAACTCATCCCAAAGTTTGGTCCCATTCTGTCTCTTAATGGAGGATCCACAATAACTGCATTGACCTTTGTATTTCCCCGTTTGTTTTATTTGAGAATTGAACGTAATATTCCTCTTCATATCAAGGTTTTCTTGTATGAACTCATAGCTGTTGGAATTTTTGGTGGTGTGGCGTCCACCTACTCCGCAATAAATGACATTCGAAAAGTATTCAGTTAAACCTTCAAAATAATAAAAATATCGGACTTATTCAATGGCTAAGGTGGGGGAGGGGGTAGAGGCGAGGGCAGAATTAGTCTCGTACACAGATCTCCCACGGCCAAGCGACAGAAATTGATCCTTCATTTTGATCAAACTAGTAGAATCAAGGTACGAATTGTTTGATCCAGTGATAGTTCGTATCATTACTTAATGCATGAAATATGTTTGTGCTAGTTTATTATATAGAGCTGTAATCTGGCCCTCGTGTATGATTCACCGAGTGCCTAAGGAAAACAGTTATAAACAGCTCCCTGTCCATGAATAAAAGTACATAAATAGTAACATGCAGGGCTGATGGTTGTCTTATTCTTCTAAAAAGATCTGAACATGTTGACATATTTGGTAAGTTCGACACAACAAGCAGCCCAGGCTCAATCTGAGAAGTTTGAAAAATTTAGATATTACATGATATGACCAAACTGTTACACGAAACATGAAAAGAAACATGAACTGTATGTGAATTTCACCTTTTAGCCTAAATAATTCAAAAAGAGCTAGATTTGCAATGGAAAGTTCACCTACGGCAAAGCATCAGGACATAAAAATGTATTTAAAAAAAAACTCCCCACATTAGTTTTGGGCAGTCTGTGAGATCTGGTTTGTTAAATGCTGCAACATAGAAAAATCTGTGTTGGTGAGAAATTTATGTATTGAAACACAACGTACCAAGCTTTAGCTTCTTGTGGGCATGCACACTCTTTTCACTTCCTCGGAAATGCACCTTTTACTAATATCTATTTC